GAGCCACCGCGCCCAGCCGTAATAAATATTTTTTAAATGAGAAGGCAATAATACCTGCAGCTTCACATAGTTCTGGCAATAAATAAAATATATTCTAGGCTGGGCACTGTGACTCACACCTGTGATCCTGGCACTTTGAGTGGTCCAGGTGGGAGGATTGCTTCAGGCCAGGAGTTTGAGACCACTCCAGACAACATAGTGAAACCCCATCTCTACAAAAAAAAAATTAAAAATGATCTGGGTATGTTGACTTGCTCCTCTAGTCCCAGCTACTCAGGGGGCTGAGATGGGAGGATCACTCGAGCTTGGGAGATTGAGACTGCAGTGAGTCGTCATCTTGCCTCTGAACTTCAGCCTGGACAACAAAGCAAGACCCTGAAGAAAAATAAAAGATATTCTGAATATATAAAAGATATATAGTTTCCACTATTTCATTAAATATTTATTGAGAGCCTATGTTGGGGAGGATGTGAAGTAGCAAAAAATGAGTAAGATATTGGTCCTGCCCTCCTGAAACCCAGAGTCTATAGAGAGAGGCAGATATGTGAATGGTTCCATGTAGTACAATGTGATGGAGAAGAGCAGTGAGGGCCCAGAGGAGGAAACAACCAACTTGTTCCTGGAGATCAGTATTACTGCCATAAAGGAGAGGATGTGTGGTTCAGGGCCTCACAGGAGTAGAATTTTGATGGAAAAGATTTCACACAATAAATAACAGATGCAAAAACTGAGCAATATAAAATAGCACACCACAAGTTTAAAGGAGTGGCTAGAGTGTAAGGCAATAGGAAGATTTTTCAGACGGAAAGATGATATTTGATTGGTTCTGCTACAATAAGGAGAATGGTTGGGACTGCAGACCAGAGATTAGAGATGAGTGCCTCACCTCTCTCTGTCATGAGAGTAGATCCACTTGTTTATTGTGTACTACATAATGCAGTGAGCAATCTAATAGTCCCTACCGTCACTGAGCTTACAGTCTCATAACGCTCATCAATCGGCTACCAGTTCGCTCTCAAATCTCTTATGTCAGATCCTTCTATTTTCTCCCTCCTTGTTCTGTCAGATTTCTACCTTCTAGTAACTAGGAAGCTATTGTATTAGTTACTCCCATGGGAACTTAGCATGTTCTCTTGAGATAAAAAATAGAAAAGAAACAGTATCTTATTTTTCTTTATATCCCCAACAGTTAATGTCTGAAATATCTTTTTTTTTAATTTTTTTTATTTTTATTTATTTATTTTTTTTTGAGACAGAGTCTCGCTCTGTCGCCCAGGCAGGAGTGCAGTGGCGCAATCTCGGCTCACTGCAAGCTCCGCCTCCCGGGTTCACGCCATTCTCCTGCCTCAGCCTCCTGAGTAGC